TCCTCAGCCAGCTTTGCTGGCTGAGGAATTCTGGGAGTTGAAGTCCACAAGTCTTAAAGTTGCCAAGGTTGGAGACCCCTGGTCTACATGACATAATTAAGCTAAAATAAAATATACATTGTACACCCCGAAAGGGAAAAGTAGCATCAGGTTAATGGGTATCCTAAAATTAAGCCCCTATATACATCACAGAACTGATGGATGCTTTTGTTAAGGTGCTGACATAATAGATTCTATGAAATGTCCCCACATATACATACATGAGAATGCATTTAATATTTATAAATGTATATTGAAACCAATAGACTGAGATTGCTGAAAATCTTTGTAATTTCTAACCCATAAAATGAATTTAAAAATTTCCATATAAAAACATCTACAGAAAAAAAAATACATAATCAAGTTTAAAATCTGTACATATTATAAAAGACACGTTCCAGTTCCTTGTTGGTCTGAGTCCTTCCTGTGCATCTCAGTGAGATGCCATGTGAATCAAAGAACACTTAAACAACTGCGCATAGTGGGAAAGATCTGTCACACGGTCCACCATATCTTGCAACGTCGATGTGCTAGGATAATTCAAGGCCGCCACCTTGGTTGACATAACAATGCTTTTGAGCAAGTGGCACAGCTGGTTGCTGGAATTCATGATGCTGTTGCGCATTTCCTGAGTTGTCAACTGCCGAGTCAGGGTATCGCCAATGAAGACCAGTTTGTGAGCACTTAAGATGACAAACTTGCTATGAGCGACAAAGATCCTCGGGGGCTGCGCAGCACTGATGCAGCTGAAGAAGGCATCAATGGCGTTCAGGAGGGAATTGAAATGAGTTTCACATTGTTCTGAATAAAACAAAAGAAGCTGCCTCTCTTGAGTGGCTAACAAGTTCTTTGCTGGGTGAAGACTTTGAGGTGACTTCCACTTTGAGATGTCATTTTCTACTGGCTTTGTGATTTCTTGTTCCAATCGCTGGAACTGATTCAACTGAAAGGCAAATAGGAAAGTCAACACCATGTAGTTCTATCAGCAATTGATACCCTTCTTTTTAGTAGATTGCTGAGACCTGACAAGTTCAACTTAGGATCAAGTGGGCTACAGTGAAGAATCCCAAGACGGGAAGAAGTATAAAACATTTCTTAATGTTGATTATTATGATTTTTATGTTACAAGCCTATAGACTGTCATATGCAAGGAGCACAGGTTTAGGAATGTATCAGTGAGCAACAATAATCTAAATTCATCATGATTGTGGTGACTTAAAAAATAAACATCCTCAATGGGTGTCCCAAAGGTGCTTTTTCAAGAGGCAACTGGACTTGTTTTTTTTTTTTTTCCTTTGAAGACATTTTGCTTCTCATCCAAAAAGCTTCTTCAGCTCTCACTGGATGGTGGGGAACGGACAACAGCTGGTCACTTGAAGAATGCAAATTTGAAGAAGCTTCTTGGATGAGAAGCGAAACGTCTTCAAAGAAAAACTAGAAAGTCCGGTTGCCTCTTGAAAAAGCACCTTTGGGACAACCATGACCTGGATTGACTGAGAATCTCCATAGACATCCCCAATGGGTGTTCCCCAATCATCCAGAGAATACTGGAGAAACACAAATGGGCATGAACAGGTGAGTGGCATTTGGGAAAAGAAGACACAAAGCTATTGTGGGTCAGGAGTCAGAGAGTAAACTGATTATTTGAATTCCTTATAGCTTATACTGCTTTGGGGAAGATCACTTGCAATCAATGGAGGCTTTAAAAAAACTGTTCTTTTCCACCCACAAATTCATGCACATTTTTCTCAAACATGGTCCCTTGCAAGAGTGGGGAAAAGACTTGGGGTCTTCCGACTCCGTGGTACATTCATTCTGTTCTGAAGCAGAGAAAATGTAGCCAGGAATTAGAGTAGTATCCCATGAAATGGACTTATACTTTATCTCTTTTAAGTAAATATATACTTGGAGAGGTTGCTTTCTTTTATTATTACTCATTTATATATTACATATATATATACCAACCATCTCGCTGTCTAACTGATACGGAGCAACACAAGGTTTTAAAAAAAAAACCTCAGTTGGTGCACGTGATTTTTTTAAAGACAACATTTCTACCTCCCAGAATTCCAGGGTCCTTGTCTTTCCATTTTGCCTTCCTGATTGTTTGGATGCTACTTATAAGGTTCTTTACCTGATGATGTTCCAGCTGCATCTTGTTCTGCTTAACAATGTTTTCTTTTTCCAGCAACTCTTTCTGTTGCCTTTCAAACTCTTCCTTCCCCTAATCAGAGAGAAATTGACATACAAACAAAAAACAAAAAACAAGCCCAATCACACAAACGAACACCTCTTCACATGGCAATTAACTATTTATTTAAAGAGCAGGCATTTTATTATGTTTGCACTCGTGTTTTTAATCGGTAGCGAGGAAAAAGTCAATGAGAACAGTGGGAACTTATACTTTTGGCTATGATCTTAAATAAACAGGAGTTGCACAACCTGGGAAATGGCAGGAGAGGCCCTAAAGGATTTTGTGCATTCCGTCATGTGGCTGGAGCTTTTTCATTTTTATTTCTATTGACCTGATGACGGTCCAGCTGCATAATAACATTTTAACAGGAGAGAGAAAATGGCTGGTTTTCCCCAGAACCCACAATCCGACTGGTGCACCTTGGTAGACAATTTCCATTCTCTGCTGAACAAATAGGGAGAATGGAGTAGGGAAGGACAATAATTACTCACTGGCTAGAAAATGAAAGAGATAGTAGATCCAACACAGATCTTTGATATGTTCCAATATTAAAAGGGGTTGCCATAAAGAAGAGGGAGTCTACCTATTCTTCAAAGCAGGGGCTTCCAACCTTGGCAACTTTAAGTCTGGCGGACTTCAACTCCCAGAATTCCCCAGCCAGCTTTGCTTTGAGGTCCGCCAGGCTTAAAGTTGCCAAGGTTGGAGACCCCTGCTTCAAAGCACCTGAGGGCAGGACAAGAAGCAACGGATGGAAACTAATCAAGGAGAGAAGCAACTTAGAACTAAGGGGAAATTTCCTAATGGTTAGAACAGTTAATCAGTGGAACAGCTTGCCTCCAGAACTTGCAAAAATACTCTTAACACTGGAAGTTTTTATGAAGAGATTGGACAACCATTTGTCTGAAATGGTATAGGGCAGCGGTGGCTAACCTTTTTGGGCTCCTGTGCCAAAAATTGTGCGCGTGCTTGCACGCGCGCACCAGCACCCAGAAGGCAATGCGCCCCATGTCCCCCTACGCATGCGCGCGCAATCCCCACCCACCCTGCCACCCCCTTACCCGCACTGTGCCTCATAGCTGATTTTCGGCCAGTTTGAGGCCTTTTTTGGCCTCCCAAAGGCTTGAGGAAGGCTTCTGCAGGCTTTGCAGGCCAAAAACTAGGCCTGTTTCATTACTTCCGGTATTTTCAGAAAAACAGGAAGTGATGAAATGGGCCTAATTTTAGGCCTGCAAGGCCTGCCAAAGCCTTCCTCAAGCCTGTGGGAGGCCGAAAAAGGCCTCAAACCAGCCAAAAATTATCTTTGAGGCGCGCGCATGCGCAGTGAGGTAAGTTTGCCTGCAGCTCGAGTGCAGCCACAAATGGCTCTGCGTGCCACCTGTGGCACACGTGTCATAGGTTCACCATCACGGGTATAGGGTTTCCTGCTTGAGCAGGGGGTTGGATTAGAAGACCTTGAAACACTTCTAAGTGTTATTCTGATATTTAATCAGGACTACAATATCCTGATCTACCTTATCTCTCAATACAGAAAGACATCAACCATCAATCACTTTTAGGGCATTCATGACTGAAACAAAGAAGTATAGGTGAAAAGCAACTGACTTGGGAAGTTTGTTTCTAAAGGGTGTGTCAGGGACTTCAGGCCCTGCTTATAAACATCCCAAAAGCCTCTGGCTGACACCTCTAGAAAAGGTAGGTGGGACTCACCTGCAAGTGCACATAATCGTAATCATCCATCCAGCTCTTTTCTAAGCTGTTATTGCTGTTGCATTGGTAAGGCTGGTTTTTAGACAGGAGTGGGGATAGAGAAGTGCAGTGGTCCTGGTTTTTATCTCCAGGGTGCAATGTTAGAGCCTGAGGATTATCATACACATAATCAGCGGTAGGATTCACGCCCTCCGATGCATTTTTTATATAGGAGCTGCAAGGTCCTTGTTTGAAGAGCACCTCTGCATTGACACTGATGCTAGTGGTCAGTTGCTTGGCGTCATCTGGGATCGTCCTTGCCACCATCACGAAACGATCCAGGTCATCACATTTGTTCTGAGGCTTGTTAACTGCTAGGACATTCAAGGACCAGCTGCAGTTACTGAGGTCGTGGCTAATCTGGGTCAAAATCTGATAGGAATCTTCTAACCTCTGCAGCTCCCTCCTCATTTTATTGTAGAGACTAAGCTCTGACAGATAGGACGCATTGGCAGTTGCCCCCTTTGTGAAATGGAGGTAGTCAACCAGTGACTGTTCCACTTTGTCAACCGCAGTATGTATCTTGTTGATATGTTTTTCCATGTTCTCGTACGATCGCCAGTCAGGGTGGACGAAGGCCATCAAACTGGAGACTGTATTTTCGACTGTGTTCTGATTCCAATAAAGCCTCTCGATGGCTGAGTCGGGATCCAGGGTTATCCTTCTGTCATGAGAAGGACTAGCTGAAAAAGAAGATTCCTTTGATGTGGTGGAAGAAGTGGACATGTTACTCCGGGTGCTCCCTGTACTTGAAAAAGACAACCGGTTTATCCCGTCGGTAGCATCCTGTAGCCTTTTGGTGTCCTGGGTGACCTGTGGAGGGACATCATATATTCCTTCTTTTCCATCTGGATTCAGACTTTCACCAAATGCTAGATGCTGTCCAGGAAAGGCAATTCCCCGAGGGGTGTCATAAATATCTGCCTGGGGAACTATTTGCTGTCCAACAAATTGAGTTTGGTGGCTCACTGGAACATCGTAGAGGCCTTGCTGGAGTGGTGTCAGCTCAGAAGAGGCGGCTGCCTTGGCTATGGGAGGAGGGACATCATATACACCTTCGGAGCTCACTTCATGCTTTACGCCCACAGCCAAATCAGGCATTCCTTTTCTAGCATCCATATTATCTCTGAACGAGGAAGACGGATTGGTACAGTTCTGGAATGTAACAGGCAAACTTAAGTTACTATGCTAAAAGCATAGCATTTAAGACTTATATAGCGCTTTACAGCCCTCTCTAAGCGGTTTACAGAGTCAGCATATTGGCCCCAACAATCTGGGTCCTCATTTTACTGACCTTGGAAGGATGGAAGGCTGAGTCAACCTTGAACCAGTCAGGATCGAACTACTTATTAGCAGAATTAGCCTGCAATACTGCATTCTAGCCACTGTGCCACCACAGCTCTTCATGACATTAAATTATCAAATGTAGGTGATTACCATTTATATGGACAATAAGCAGAGATACTTTGTGGAAGCGCTGTCTCTGGCTGAATGTGGTCAAATCCCAGAAAAATAATGTAATCGTTTGAAAGTGGCCAGCAAAAGTTAGTATTGGCACAGAAAGCAAATTATTTAGATGGTTTTCCTCCAGCACAGTTAACCTGACCATTATGAAATATGAGTGGCTGAAAACATGTGATTTGGAGCTGCAATCTGTCAAGCTCAAATAGAAGAGCCCAACAAACATCCAATCTTGTACAGTGGATACTTGGCACAAAATGACAACCTTACCCTACTACTTATAGCTCAAGGATACTAAGACACGCTCTGTCCAAAGGCTATTGCTCTGCATAAAGACTATACAAATTGATCCAGTTTACACGTCAGCCTAGTAGTCACTGACTAAACCCATTCCACCTGGCCCCTAAGTCATCCAAATTATTTCCATGCTACTGTGTAAGACTCCTTGAGAATCCTCACCCTTTCTACACTGTTAGCTGTTGAGAACTCCCTCCAGATCCTCAGTGCCCTGTCTTTCCCCTTGCTCTTTTGTTGCTGTGTATCGAAGTGTGTGTGTTTAAAGCTGTTCCCTGGCAATATAGCAAAATTACTTCAGATCAGCAAAAATGGAGGAACAATGCCCTTCAATGTTCAGTCTAGACCAGGGGTCTCCAACCTTGGCAACTTTAAGACTTGTGGACTTCAACTCCCAGAGTTCCTCAGCTGGCTGAGGAACTCTGGGAGTTGAAGTCC